AAGGAAACCAAGGACGAAAACAAAAAGGCAACCTACTGAATGGGAGAATATGTTTACAAATAATATATCTGATAAGGAGTTATCCAAAATATGTAAGAACTTATATAACTCAATACTAAAAAAAGCAAATTATCTGATTTTAAAAATAGCCAGAGGACCTGAATAAACATTTTTCTAAAAAAGACATACAGATGGCCAACAGACACACAAAAAGATGCTCAACATTACTCATCATCAGGGAAATGCAAATCAAAACCACAATAAGATATTACCTTACACCTGTCAGAATCACCAAAATAAAAACACAAGAAATAACAAGTGTTGGTGAAGATGTGGAGAAAAAGAAATCCTCACGCACTGTTGGTAGGAATACAAATTGGTACAGCCGCTGTGGAAAACAATATGAGGGTTCCTCAAAAAATTAAAAATAGAGCTTCCATATGATCCAGCAACTTCACTACTGGGTATCTAAAGAAAATGAGAACACTAATTTGGAAAGATATCGGCACCCGTATGTTTATTACAGCAATACTTACAAGAGCCACCACATGGAAGCAGCCTAAGAGTCCACTGATAGATGAATGGATACAGAAGATGTGGTATGTATACAATGGAATATTACTCAGTCATAAAAAAGAATAAAATCTTGCCATTTGCAATAAAATGGATGTACCTAAGGAGTATAATGCTAAATGAAATCCGTCACAGAAAAACAAATACTATATGATTTTATTTGTATGTGGAATTTAAGAAACAAAGAAAAAAAAAACAGATTCTTAAATACAGCAAACATACTGGTGGCTGCCAGAGGGGAGGTGGGTGGTGCATGGGTGAAACAGATAAAGGGAATTAAGAGCATAATTTTTTTTAATTTTTTTTTATTTATTTATGATAGTCACACACACACAGAGAGAGAGAGAGGCGCAGAGACATAGGCAGAGGGAGAAGCAGGCTCCATGCACCGGGAGCCTGATGTGGGATTCGATCCTGGGTCTCCAGGATCGCGCCCTGGGCCAAAGGCAGGCGCCAAACCGCTGCGCCACCCAGGGATCCCTAAGAGCATAATTAAAATGAAACAAAAAAAATTTTTTGGAAGAAACCTAAATAAACCTAAATAGACATAAAATATTCATGAATTGTATAATTCATATTGTTAAGATGGCAATTCCCAAACTTGACCTACAGTCAACAAAATCCAAAATTCTGATTGTTTTTGGAAGAAATTGACAAGTAGTTTCTAAAATGTATATATAGATATAAATAACCTAAACTAAAGCAATTTTCATAAAGAAAAACAAAGTTAGAGTACTTACCCTACATGATTCAAAACAATATAAAGCAACAGTAATGAAGACAGTTGATATATGTAAAAAAAAAACAAGGAATACAAACAAGGAATAGAACAGAGCATTCAAAAACAGATCCATATACATATAGTCATTGATTTTCAAAAAAGGTGCTGAGGCAATTCGATTATGAAAAGACAACAATGGGACTAGACAACTAGAGAGCAATATGAAAAAACTAAATAAACATCATAGCATCTACCCACCTCATACCATCTACAAATATTATCCTTGGAACACAGACCCAAATGTAAGAACTAAAACTGTGCATTTCTAGAAAAAACAGAATAATTTTGCAATATGTGCCTGTAATATTAGCTTGAAGGGGATCCTGCTGGCCAAATCTGAGACAATCTCAACATGAAATAAGAACAGTAATGGATTATATTCCATTAAATAAAATTGGAATCCATGATTCATATAGAATATGAATAACTAAATCTAAGTAAAAATTTAAGTAAATGAATAAATAAATAGATGGAAAAGATAAGCCTCTTCTTTACACTAAGATGTAGACTGATAAACATGGAGCAAGTGGTGGAGTTAGAAAATCATCACCTTGCAATGATCAATGTCAAGATTGGTTTCAGCCAATGACTTTTGTCATTCACAGATACAAAATATAGATGGCTAAGTCTTATGAGAAGCAGGATATATGCATATTAAAAGCATCTCATCTGTCACCCTGTTAATTAGTTGCAAGGAAAAAAATTAGGCATTGAAACAACAAAAATTCCCAAGCGTATTCACTGGAGAGACCAGACAATATTTCCTCTGAGTTCTGCTTTTTAATGTTCTTGTGTATGTATGTATGTATGTATGTATGTTGTGTGTATGTATGTGTGTGTATACATTTAAAGTTTTTATTTTTTATTCCAGTTAGTTAACACACAATGTTACATTAATTTCAGATGTATAATATAGAGATTCAACACATCCATATAAATTATGGTGCTCATCACGACAAGTGTACTCCTTAATCCTCATCACCTATTCCACCCATCCCCCAGCCCATCATCCCTCTGGTAACCATTAGTTTGTTCTCTATAGTTAAGAGTTTGTTTCTTGGCTTGCTTCTCTACTTCCCTTTGCTTGTTTGTTTTGTTTCTTAAATTGCACATTTGAGTGAAATAAATATGGTATTTGTCTTTCTCTGAATGACCTATTTTGCTTAATATAATACTCTCTAGCTCCATCCAAGTTATTGCAAATGGCAAGACTTTGTTCCTTTTTATGGCTAATATTCCACTGTATTTGTATATACTACATCTTCTTTATTCATTTGTCTGTCAGTGGATGTACACCTGGGCTGTTTCCATACTTTGGCTATCATAAATAATGCTGCTATAAACACTGGGATGCAGGTATCCCTCTGAGTTAGTATTTTTGTATTCTCTGAGTAAATACCTACTAGTGCAATTGCTGGATTGCATGGTACTTCTAACTTTTTGAGGAACCTCCTAACGGTTTTCCACAGAGGCTGCACCAGTTTGCATTTCTACCAACAGTGCAAGTGGTTTCCCCTTTCTCTGTATCCTCACCAATACCTGTTATTTCTTGTATTGTTGATTTTAGCCATTCTGACAAGTGTAAGGTGATATCTCATTATAGTTTTAATTTGTATTTTCCTAACAATGAGTGATGCTGACCATCTTTTCATATGAGAGATAGTTTTTAACCATACAATCAAAATTACTATCTCCAGTAAAAAACATGTTAACACTCTGTGCTTCTAGATGTGATACCCTGAGAATACTTCACTTAAGTAGTATTTTCACTAGTATTTCACTGAATCTGTGAGAATATACAGTTCATCAAATCCAAATTGATGAACATTCTTCTAAAATGTCAATTTCATGAAAGATAGCTGAGGAAGTGTTTCGGATTAAGAGGCCAGAAAGACATATTGACTAAATGCTGTATGAGATTCTGGACTGGATTCTGTCTAAGACATAGAGAAAATGCTTTAAAGAACATTAATAGGACTACTGACAAATGTGAAATTGGGTCTGTAGATTAAAAATGAAAATAGGGGATCCCTGGGTGGCTCAGCGGTTTGGCGCCTGCCTTCGGCCCAGGGCACAGTCCTGGAGTCCCGGGATCGAGTCCCGCATCAGGCTCTTGGCATGGAGCCTGCTTCTCCCTCTGCCTGTGTCTCTGCCTCTATGTCTATCATGAATAAATAAAGAAAATCTTTAAAAAAAATAAAATGAAAATGAAAATAGCAAAGTTATTATTGAACTGAGGTTATATAAGAGAACACCCTTTCTCTTAGGAAATGATGAAGAGCTAAAAAGACATACATATGCAACTTAACTTCAAATGTTTCAGAACATAATTATGTATGTATAGAGAGAAAAAATTAAAAAGCTAATGTGGCAACATGTTAAAAATGTTTAACAGTGGATTTGAGTAAAAGATACTTTTCTTGCAACTTTTCTATAGATGAGAACTTGTCTCAAATAGTAAAAAAAAGTACAAAAATTAAAAAGTATAAAAAAGTAAAAAACAAAAACAAAAAACCACTGTAACAGCAGAGGAAATAGGATATAATGGCAAAAACACTATACATAGGGTCCCAGTCCTTGAGTCCTACTTACCGTGTATATTTGCACAAAAGTAGTTCACAACCTCTCTGATTCTGGTGCCTTATCTCTGAAATATATGGCTAATATCTGCCTCATGGATTATCCAGGGTTGTCACAGTGCAAGAAAAAAACAGTATATAAAAATGACCTCAGGCCTGGTAGAGTGATACATATGGCTATGTAATGGGGGCAGGAGGCAAGAGTGTCAAAAATCCAAATTACAACAACAGATTTTTTAAAAATCACTAAGCAGTGTTTTCTTTGGTGCCATTTCACTAACTAACATCAGTCCTGAGACAGAAGCAAATGAACCATTGCCCCCACAGCTCCCCTGCCTTCTTTCTTTTTTCTTTTTTTTTTTTTTTTAAAGAATTTTATTTATTTCATGAGAGACACACACAGAGAGAGAGAGAGAGAGAGAGAGAGAGAGAGAGAGAGACAGAGACAGGCAGAAACACAGGCAGAGGGAGAAGCAGGCTCCATGCAGGAAGCCTGACGTGGGACTCGATCCCGGGTCTCCAGGATCATACCCCGGGCTTCAGGCGGCGCTAAACCGCTGCGCCACCGGAGCTGCCCCCCTGCCTTCTTTCACTGCCAGAAGGATATTCATAATCAACCTCTCGGCACACGATGAAGTCAATGTCAGTGGGCAAAAATCCCCTCACAGGGCATCCCTGGGTGGCTCAGTAGTTTAGCGCCTGCCTTCAGTCCAGGGTATGATCCTGGAGTCCCAGGATTGAGTCCCACGTCGGGCTCCCTGCATGGAGCCTGCTTCTCCACTTGTCTCTCTCTATCTCTCTCGTGAATGAGTAAATAAAATCTTTAATAAAAAAAAAAAAAAGAAAGAAAAGAAAAGAAAAAAAGAAATCCTCTCATAGGGGACAAGCTGGGGCAAAGGAACTGTTGACACGCAGAGTCTTCTGAGAACAACTTACAGGGGAAATCAGCAAGATAAGAACTATCTACACTCAAACCCCACATTCTCCTAAACCACAGTTTTGGAGAAAAGCCTTTCTGGCAATTTCAGAAAAAAATCCAGATTCAGATTGAAAAGATCGCATCTTACCGATTGGTGATGATGTCATCCCAGATGTGCACTGGGTCCATTCTAGCATCCGGGTATCTGTTTGTCCAGGATTTTAGAAGTCTTTTAAGGGGAGCTTGAGATGATAAATTACCTAAAAATATTAGAAGATGACTATATCCACAGCTCAGTGACAAGACCAATTTACAAAGTTGGGCTGCTGTTAGTAAACAGAAACTTAATTCAAATTTCTTGTCCAAATTAAAATTGTTTCGTCTTTCACAACAGGAACAAAAACTTATCACAGTAAATCTATTTTGACATCAAAACTCAATTTTTTTTTCAATTTTTTTAAAGATTTATTTATTTATTCATGAGACACAGAGAGAGAGAGAGAGAGAGAGGCAGAGACATAGGCAGAGTGAGAAGCAGGCTTGTCACAGGAGTCCTATGTGGGACTCGATCCCGGATCCCGGGATCACGACCTGAGCCGAAGGCAGACACCCAACCGCTGAGCCACGCAGGCATCCCCAAAATTCAATTTTTTAAGGACACAGAGTAAAACTGGGGAAATAAACATATGTAATTTTTACACTTAGCACAGGTTCACAGTCCTTCATCCACAATTCCAAGATCTAGAAAGTTCTGAAACCTGAAAGTTTTCATAGGGCTACAGCCAATTTTCTTGTTGGCAAAATCTGATCTGAATCAGCATAGGGCTACTTACCTTGGTTTATGTCATTTGTGTGAATATTCACCATTTAAGCTGGAGACGCTCACTGTGTTGAAAATACTGCCCCAGACCTTGGTATGTGCACAGGGTTACATGATAATAACAACAGCCAAAGCAATCTGGCCTCAAGAGATTCATGATAACCCTCAGGAAATTTAAATTTTACATTACTAATGTTTAAAGCTTTAGTCTTCTCTTTCTGTTGGTGGGAAAGCAGTGGTTAAGAACACAAGCTTAAATAGGACAGTCCAGGGTTCAAGATTAGGATCTTTCACCTATTAGTTTAGGTAAGTTATTTAATAACCTATGTTTCTGTAAAATGAGAAGGAAAAAAATCTAAATTTCATGAGGCTGTCATAAAAACTATGTAAAAGAGGGATCCCTGGGTGGCGCAGCAGTTTAGCGCCTGCCTTTGGCCCAGGGCGCGATCCTGGAGACCCGGGATCGAATCCCACGTCAGGCTCCCGGTGCATGGAGCCTGCTTCTCCCTCTGCCTGTGTCTCTGCCTCTCTCTCTCTATCTGTGTGACTGTCATAAATAAATAAAAATTAAAAAAAAAAAAAAACTATGTAAAAGAGAAAAAGGAGATTAACATAAGTCCTGGAAAGTAGAAAACACTTAATGATCTGCATTAACAATATGTAGTTGAAAAAGAATTCTCCAAATTTAAAGCAGAGTATGAATAGTTGTAGATATATATAAATATCAATTTTTATTAGTACTCTGAGAGTCTTTCATTTTTATTTTTAATTATTTAGCATACAAGTTGAATTCCACTTTATAACTAAGACATATAACTGATGCAAAGATGTATTCTTTCCCTTTGACTCTGGGTGGTGTCTCGTAGGTGACAGAATAAAATCTCCTGTTGGCAGCGGAAAGACCTTCAGGGTCTGCACACTGCTGCCAGCAGCTTCACCTCCCCTCAGGCCAGGGCATGTGGCACCCAGTCACTGAACTTTCAGCCCATCCAAGACACTGCAGCCCTTTTATAGGGCAAATTCTCTGCAAGTTCCACCCAACTCAGGCCCTTCCTCCAGGAGCCTCCTGCACCCTTCAGTCCAGGGCACATTCTGTTACCCATATTTGACATGGGCTATCCCTCTGCCTCAGTAAGGATCACATCATGTGGGGATTACCTCACTCTTTTGAAAGCTTTTTCAAGCAAGGCAATACATTTTATTTGATTTTGCATCTCCAGTGCCTAGACTTTATTTCAATGATCTCAAAATATGTATTTGTAGAATGAACTCAAGGTATTTTCTAATCCATACATAAGAAACCTGTCCTTTCACTAAGTAAAAAAAATCACATCAAAACTTTTCCAAAATTATAAAAGAAAAAAGTGGTAGGTAAAAAAAAATTACCTTGTCTGCTTATAAAACTGATGAACTCCTGAATTTCTATCATAGTTTGTACAGACTGCAATTTGGTGAGTCTACTTCTGTGTAAGAGGACATCAATACTTGAGTAATTCTAGAAAAAAAATATTTAACACTGTTTAGAAATCAATTTACTACTTTAAATTTCAATATAGCTCCCTAAAATGTGAAATACAGCAACTATCCTATATCAATTACACAATGTATCTTAGAGTAGTTACCAGTTAGCACACAGAAGCAATTAACAAATGGTCTAAGGTTTTAAAAATAATTTTGGTTTTTAGTCAAATTTTAGTCACATATCAATATATGATTAGGCACTGTTGCCTCTATTCACCACCAATTTTTAAAACTAACAATATCTTATAATATAGAACTGCCAACTACAGAAGCCAATTCCTTCTTTGATAAACTTCCCCTTGAATGTACAGAACAAATTCAAAATTTGGGGCATCTGGGTTGGTTGAATGACCAACTCTTGACGTCAGCTCACGTCTTGAACTCACAGTTGTGAGTTCACAATAGATCCAAATTGGGCACGAGTCTACTTAAAAAATAAATAAATAAAAATCAAAGGCAATGAATGGTTATGCTTCTATGGTCAATATAAGCCAATGATAAATGTTAACAGGTTCTATAAAGACACTGACTTTAAAAACAAATATCAGAAGATTCTCATAAAAGGAAAGAAGGCACAATGGTAGTAAATGAACAGGAAAGATTAGTTCATTTTCTCCACAAAACAATCAAACTTCCACTCAGCCAATCCAGATGAAAAGTCTACACAAGTGTTCTTTAACAGTGTGAGAAAGATAAAAAAACCTAAGGAAAAACAAAAAAAAAAGGGGGGGGGTTTAAAAATACAGTAAGACAGAGTGAAGAGATTTTAGAAGAAACTGGAAGAATAGAAAAGAAAACGGGTGGTATCAAATAGTAAAGGAAAGTTTTCACTTGATTTTTTTTAAATTCATTTATTACCTGCATAAAAATCTGAATGCAATTTTCAATATAATATTTGGCTCTGTCAATGTCATCTTGTAAGATATAAAGAAGACTCAACTCTTGACTATAATGCAGCTCTATAAGAGCCTTCTGAAGCTCCTTGTTCACAGCTTCATCAATAAATGTCAGCAGGGACTGGTCAGCCTCCCCTTGTAGCAATAACTTCAGCTTGCTGCGGATCATGTAAGGTAGATAGGTCTCCTAAGAAACAGAAGACTCTACTTGTAACTTTAGAAAGCTAGTATGAGTATGCCTAATTATTTTATAATATCCTTTGGTATAATTTTTTAGGTTAAGATTTAGAGCTAAAGTGATGATGTCTGATGTTTCAAACCTAAAACTATAATTTTTAAAACATGTTCACTTGAAATTATTCATTATGTAACCACAAAATACACAGGAACATGTCCTATAGAAAACGGAAACCACTTTTAAAGCTAAAAGATCATTGGAAATTACATACAAGTGAGGACAGCTGCATTGTGGGGACCAGGTAAGCTGCTTCCCTCCAAGAGTTGGGGCTATCCCATGGGAGGGGAACTGTCCCACTCCAGGGGTCAGGGCTACCCAGGGTAAAGACACCATGAAATATTCTTCCATGTAGTCATAGGATGGGTGTTAATATTTATTTTTAAATGCCTCCCATTTATTTGGAAAGTGTTAGTCAAAAGTGGTAAGAGATTTAATGATATTATGGAGTTCGTGGGGTCAGGTTTTATAAATATCCTATATTTCAAAACTACTGCTATTTTTTTTTTAAGTTTTAAACAACTTCACTAATTAGAAAATAGCTAACCATCTAAAACATTTATCTCAGTGACCTGAAAAATAATTCTAGTTCATCTGGTGGTGTTGCTGGTTAAGCATCCAGCTCCTGGTTTCAGCTCCACTCTTGGTCTCAGGGCAACATGATCTAGCCCTGAGTCAGGCTCTGTATTGGGTGCAGACCCTGCTTGACATTCTCTCTCCCTCTCCCTCTGCCCCTTCTGCTCTAAAAGGAATAAATAAATCCTTAAAAAACAACAATTCTACTCACCTGATAAAATGGTTCGCTCCACATTTTATTTAGATCTGGAGGGTTTTCATTATCAACACTGACTATAGAACAGTACGCTAATGACTTCCATTCAGCAAGCTGGTTATAACAGTCGAGGGATGCAAGTTCCCAAAAATCCTTCTCAGCTTCCGTAGGCTCACCATCTACCCACTCTTCTTTATTGAGAGCCTCAGGAAGAAAAGTTCATAAATTTATTTTACAAAGTTGGAAAGAATATAAATGACAACATTTGTATTATACATAGTGTCAACATTCATTAAGGACAATCATTTTTGAATTTATGACAATGGGAAAGAAAACTGAAAATGGAGTAACACTGAATAAAAGAAATCAAACCAAAAGAAATCTAATGGAAGCAAACGAACAGAAAAACCAAGAGGAAACTATTTCTCTAAGAAACTTACAAATTAAGCCAATTAATAAACTAAAGACTCTGACCCAAAATTTGATTTAAATCAATGCTATGGGCTATTTACCACTTAAAGAGTTCTGAGATTAAGTCAGAAAATAGGACATTTACTGAAAATTGCAGAAGACTTTACAACCTGGATTACTCATTCAAGAATCTAACAGATCACAAACTCTGAATTTCAACTACTTGCTAGACATCTATACCTGGATAGCCACTGGCAACTCAAAACACAAATGTAAAAATTGAATTTATAGTCATCTTCTAAAAACCAATTCTTACGTACCTCTTCATAAACTTTTTACTTACTGAAGGAAAACAATCTACCCAAATAGAAATTATATAATAACAGCACATAATGAAATAACATCTTACAGTTTTATAGTATTTTATATGAAATGCTTTCTCTTTTATTCAGTGATGTTTTCTTAAAAAGAGTAAAAGATAAAGCAATAATTATTTCACATTTGGTTATTAAACTATTCCCTATTAATCTCTGTATAAAAACTAAGGAATAAAGTTGAACTATTAATGAAGCTCTAAATTCTAAAGTTAACAGTTTTTCAGAAAACAAAAGTGTTTAAGCAACTGACGTATTTGCTAGACATCAATTTTACCTCATTATACTGCTTAGCAGCTTCAGAATAATCACTTCTTGCTTCTGCTAAAATTGCACTTTGAGTGATTTGCTTTGTTCCTATCTCACTGCTAAAAATACCACGGAGGATGTCATATTCTCCAATAGATCTATACAGTCTAAAAAACAAACCAAAAGAAAGTCTCAATCAATGAATATGCTTTATAAATTGAATGTTGACACTATGTATAATACAAATGTTGTCATTTATATTCTTTCCAACTTTGTAAAATAAATTTATATTTTTCAAGTGTTAATTCTAATGAAATGATAATTAAATCAAGAGGTCTCATTATGTTAGCCAAAAAGGATATACATTATTTTTGTTCTATAAAAATATAAAATCTTAGACATTGTGAAGTTACCATTAGGTTTTACTACTTTAGTCCTACAGGAGACAGAGATTATTCTAAAGTGCATTTAAAGTGAAATCTAAAAATATTAAGTTTACAGTGGATAAACTGTCTCATACAATAAGACCGTCCTGTGTAAATCTATTACAGTAACATTGCACATATCCATGGATGACCTATTTGAAATCCTGTCTATACCTAAAATTTGGAATGTAGTCAAGAACCCAGAGTGTGTAATAATTAATCCTGGTCCTAATAAGGCCATGTTTTAATCCACATTCTATGGGCCATCTAAATTCTACCAACAAGTAATTTTCTTGCAGCCTTACTATTTGCTGTAACACTCATTCCTCTCTTCCCATTAACAAAAATCTACTTCACCCCATCAATCAACCTTCCCCACTAAGATAGTCTCAAGTAAGTGTTAAGAAGTTTGTTCCCTTCCCTTGGAATTTTTTTCCCCATCTTTTAAGTCTCCACACAAATGTCATCTCTTCCTGAACCCACAATCACACAGCTTCCCAGCAAGGACTGCTTCCTCCTTGGCTTTCCTGCACTTTGGTCCTTAACCAGGTTATGAAATCTCATGTATTTATTACATCAAAAAAGTCCTAAGGGCTCTCTCAGAGCCTAGGATTCCAAATTTAGATTAAAATCTAGTAGACATGGCCCTCTCTTGCCCTGTTTGTAAAGGGCTATGGGTAACAAACAGGGGCAGAAGTGGGGAGATGGGAGGTAGGATAACAGTTCACAGTCCAAGAGAAGATGAGAACTACAATTATTTTCCAATAACTCAGAGAAGAGAGTTCTCTGAGTTATTGGAACTTATATCAGTCTCATACCCACTTTGCACTAGCCCCGTGTTTCTAGGATGATACACACTATAACATGGTCAAAATAATGACTGTGACATATCATGGACAGGCAAAATTATGTTCTTAATACTGTTTGAGGAAGTATTTCTTTTACAGATTTATTTTAGTAAGAAACAGAGTGAGCTGAGAGAGGGGCAGAGGGAGAGAGGGAATCCCAAGCAGACTCCCCAATGAGTGCAGAGCCTGATGCAAAGCTCGATTTCATGATCCTGAGAGATCATGACCTGAGTCGAAACCTAGAGTCAGACATTCAACTGGCTGAGCTACCCAGGTGCTCCAAAAGTATTAGGAAGTATTAAATAAAGTCAGAAAAAAATGTTTAAAGTTTAGGCTCTTAAAAGTTGTGTACTTCATTTACCCAGCCACTACACATTAGATGAGTTTCTCATTCCCTGGAAATGTTAAATATACGAAGTGTTACTGACTATTCACTTATACATCTGAAACACCAAGCTAAAAATGATTACTAATTAGAATCAGTATAAACCAAGATGCACCGTTTGAACTGCCCTGGTATTTACCTGGCTTCTCAGAGAACTTACCGCTTCCCATTCCATGTATGGTTAGTTATGCATGTAAGTATATACATTTCCTATTAGATGGCTAGTTTTGTGAGTGTGCAAGACATGCCTAATTCTTCTCAATACCTGACACAATGTCTTGCTCACACATAGTGCTCAATATAGAAAGATATGAATGACCATAAAACAGTGATTAGTACAAGGATTCCCCCACCCTTCTCTCTACTCTTTTTCCTAGAACCTGAAGATCCAAAAATCAGCACTATAAAATAGAAGTTCAAATTTAATTTTAACCTAATATCCTTCTCAGAATTAGGCATTGGCTTTATGATAAAAGCACAAGTAAGGAAAAAAGCAGACATAATGCAAAATGGCTTAGCAACAAAATAGAACTTGTTCTTCCCAAATTAACAAAGTAAGTGGATTAAATTGTTTCTAAAAGTATGAGTCCTGCTGAAAATAATGGATTACCCTCTATTCAGTTTAGTTAAGCAATAAAAACATATAAAACTGTAAGTTATGGCCACACTTGACAGGAAACTAGACTTGGTAGATAGGACCCTGAATCCAAAAAGATTGTATACTGAAAGAACAAGTATCACTGATGTTCTCTTTTCTGGAGTGAGATACTCCTGTTGTGACATCTACTCTTGACTTATATCGAATGGTACTTCACCAGAGAGATTTTTTTTTTAAATTTCATAGAAGTGTTATTATCAATTTTATTTGCTCATTTTCCACCAGAATGAAAAGTTTTTTCTGTATTACTTCAGTCAAATTCATTGTTCTCCCAACAGTCTGTATTACCAAACTTACTTAGCAAGTTCCATCCATCTGACAACATCAGGAGAGACACGCATCCTCCCCCGTAACTGCTTGGCAGGTGGCTCTTGAGGTCCCAGATGAAGTAGGGCCTCCTCGAGGAGACGGATGCCCACAGGCTGCTGCAGACTGGCAAGGCAGCTGGCACGGATAGAACCAGGGTCCAGGCTCAGCAAGTCTGTGTGTTGGCAACTGATTTCCTGCAAAACCACAAACACATGCAGCTATTTTGCCTATGGCACTTTGACTGTATCTTCACAAGCAAATAAGCCATTTTACTAAACATAAAAGAACATTTTAACATAAGTAGTGATATAACCAAAAATTTCTCTGTGTACCTCTATTAACAAAATTTCCTCAACATTCAGCTTACTGAAAGAAATGACCTTTTATTTTTACACTTCCAATTCAGAGATTAATTTAAAGCAAGAAAACCACTAGCAAAATATGAAAAATTTTATATGTATAATTTATATATCCAAACAACAATTGCAGTTTCCAGGAATATTTAGCCTGAATAGGTTGTAAAAACAGCTGAAACACAAAGATTTCATGCCTAATCACCAAAAGTAGGTACACTAATCTCCATTACAATATTTAGCATCTTTTTTTCCATCTCCTTCCACTCAGGGGCTTATTCACAATAATACTGAATTAGAGGATTTTAGGAATTTTTATATGACCTTTACTTTGCAACTCTGAATTTGAGAGTCCTATATATACCAATAAAAATAAACTACAAATCAATATAAAGAATATAAATAGTATGGCAACATTTCATTAAAACACACCTGAATGTGTGCATGTAGTTCTTGTGTGTCTGTGCATGCACATATATGGAGATATCTGGAAAAGACAGTGACCCTGCGAAAAACACAACACTTTCCTCACAGTTGTGCCACACATGGACCACTTGATAAGTCTGACCAAGCCAACTTAAATTCTACATTATGGGACTTGAAAGAATATAAATTCTCCAAAGCAAGCTAGCAAACAAAAATGTCACTCTTAGAAGGAATTAGTGGCACTGGAAAGAAAATCCAAATAAAATTCTGTTTTAATTAATAACACAGCAGGGGATCCCTGGGTGGTTCAGCAGTTTAGCGCCTGCCTTTGGCCCAGGGCGCGATCCTGGAGTCCCGGGATCGAGTCTGCGTCGGGCTCCCGGCATGGAGCCTGCTTCTCCCTCTTCCTGTGTCTCTGCCTCTCTCTCTCTCCCTCTCTCTATGTCTATCATGAATGAATAAATAAATAAACAAATAAATAAATCTTTAAAAAAAATTAATAGCACAGCAAAGTCTTGGTCTTAGTTGACGTATCCGATTTTGAGATAACATCATTCTAAATTTAGAAAGGGAAATCCTGAGTTACAAAGACTATTTTAAAATAAATATATTTTGGGGGCTCTTGGGTAGCTCAGTCAGTTGACCGTCTAAACCTTGATTTTGGCTTAGGTCATGATCTCAGTGTTCGAGACTGAGCCCCACATTGGGATCCATGCTCAGCGTGGAGTCTGCTTGAGAGATTCTCTTTTATCCTCTCCCTCCTCCTCTGCTCCTCTCTCTGCTACTGCTTGAGAGCACATATGCCCATACTCACTCCTTCTTTCTCCCAAATAAATAAAATCTCTAAAATAAATATACTTTTAATTTTCCAAGAATCAACTCATTCTATACTTATTGAATACCTTCTACATCCAGACATTGTAGTAAACAATGTTGTACCAGACTGCATGTAGCTTAAGATTTATTCTCATTTGTCAATAGAAGTCTTTTGTGGAAGTTTAAAATAAATAAACAACTATTACTGGTATATCATTCCTTTATATATAAATGTATTCTCATAATTTAAATGAGTTCTATAGGTCTATTTTTAAGAAGATTGATTATTCTGTATAAAGTTGTTGATAGTATCATAAAAGAATGATTTGCTAAACAAAAAAACTTCAGCTAACTGATTTCACTTTTTATAAATTCCAAAACAGAATAAAGTAATGAAATCTAATTTTTAAAATGTTGACAATCTATTGGAATTATTAATAATATTCTTGGCTTGGACCCTTATTTCACTGTATTAGGTAAAGGCAAGGGACATTTCTTCATTTCAAATATTCCATAGTTCTCTTTTTCTTAAAAGATTTTATTTATTTGGGAGAGGGAACAAGCAAGAGAAAGAGAGAGAATGAGGTGGCAGAGGGAGGGGTTGAGGGAGAAGCAGACTCCCCTGCTGAGCAGGGAGTCTGATGTGGGGCTTGATTCCAGGACTCTGGGATCATGACCCAAGGCGAAGGTAGATGCTTAAACATTTGAACCAGCCAGTGCCCCTCTGTAGTTCTTAAATAGAGGTTTACACATATAATACCCTCAATAAATGTTTTGTAAAGAAAACAAAATTTTTAAAAAGATCAACAAGCAATGTTGTTGCTTAAGTGTCGGACACCAAATTAATAGTAATTAACTATGTCATGGAAAAATGGTTAAACAGATTTTTCTTCCAGTTTGAGAGATATAGTTAGAACAGTCTGACAAATAACAGGATATGTGGCAGACAAGAAACTCATTCTGGGATGTCATGGTTGGGCAGCGGCATCTCAAAGAGATAGTACTTGCTAGAACAAGAACTCATGTGAATGCCATGCCAAATATACTAAGATGCCATGGAGAAGGGGAAAAAAAATCATACTTTCAGATATGAACCACAAACAGGAATCATAATAGGAAATACTGCAAATTTAACGCACTGATTTGCATTTGTGCTGCTTTTTCAATAGCAAGCTCTGGAGTGCATAGAAGTCATTTATTTACTTAATGACAATTAACAATTCTCTTAACAATGGAAAAAGCTAGCTTTTTAAAATAAATATAGGGACAAAACTAGGAATTCAGATTTAAAAAATCACTTCAGAACACAATGTAAAGAGAAACTTATTTTGAAATACTGGCTAGTTCAATATAATTTCTCAAATCTTATCTTTAGTGTAGCCAAGAAAAAAACAATGAAGGAATTCTACTTGTAAATTATAAACCAGTAAAAATAGAATACATAAAAAGAAACTATATTAATAGTTTCATGCTACATAAGAACAAAACAGGAAAAGCTGCTATTTCATCTCAGCGAATTATTAACCAATTAGTTTGCTAACTAATGCAAACCTCCAGTGAGGTTACTAGTTACAGAATAACTAAAATGGGCTTTGGGGGAAGTGGTTAAGATGGTGTAGTAGTAGAGGGACTCTGAACTTGCCTGGTCCTTCAAACACAGCTAGATCAACATTCAATTATTTTGAATAACTAGGAAGACAGACAATCTGAGGATAAAGGAAACAATCTGCACAGTTGGAGCAAGAGAACATGGCAGATGTGAGGTTTGGAGCCCTGATCTGGGGGAGAGAAAAGCCACAAGGCCTAAATGGGATGGAACCCAATTCTTGGGGTCAAGTCAGGAAGAGGGAGGAAAGCAGTTTCCTGCCCAGCAGGCAGGGACGACACAATAAGCTGCAGTGAGGAGATCCCCTGGGTCCCACAGGGAGAAATCACTCCCTTTCCAGAGGGCATGTGAAGAGCAGATTTTGCCTCTCAAAGGACCAAAGGCCCAAAGGCCAGCCAGAGCCACTGAGCAGTGCTCATCAGCAAGGTCAGAGGTGCCCCCAGAGAGCAGAAGACAACTTGTTACTCTAAGCCACAGTAGGCTTAAACCTGTGTGTGCACGTTGAGTGGCTGCTTTTCTGTGGCAGAACTAACAGAAAGCAGAGACTGGAGAAGATTGCAGATAACCTAGTGGCAGTTTTTGCTGTCTGCTGCAATAAATCCAAGCCTCTGCCACGGCTTCCCTGGGACAGAAGAGAGCAGAGGACTGAGTCAAGCGCGCAAGGCTGATAACCTGGGTCCAGCTTTTCGCTGAGTATTACAATAAACTCTAGCCTCTGTGCTCGCACTGTGCAATGTCCTTTCAGGGAAAGGATGAGACAATGTTAGGCATGTGATGGTGGTGGGTACATCCAGATCATCTCCTCCCCTGGACAGATTGGCCTGCACCTTACCAGGCTCTTTAAATCTTGGGAGTTTTGAATCCCAGACACCAGCCAGAGATAAAATACAGGAGATCTGTGGCTCTGGGTATACCAAAGACCTGGGCACAGACAGGTCAGGGCAGGGAACTGACGAAAGTGCAGGTCACAGGAGACTGCTCTTCTAAAAGGGCCTCCTGAACAATGGTGGCAGGGAGTTCTGCTCCACAAGAAGAGGCAGCAAGTGATGCCATTTTCTCCCTCCTCCCTCCCACCAGCACAGCAGGACTGCAGAGAGACACAGCACCTCCAGTGTAGGCTAGAGGCCCCTGCACTACACCCTTCCTCTCCAGAGGCTGGCAGGAACATCTTTAAAAGGGCAGCTGGCCCATGAACAGGCACAGCAGGCCTCTCCCACAGAAGACCAACAAAGGCCCTCACATCTACCAAGTCCAGTGATTAAAGAAAACTCCAAAATATCACCTTCTAGTGGAAATAGGACCAGGCTTGCTTCTTTTTTTTTTTCTTCTGTTAATTTTTTAAAACTTTTTTCATTTTGTACTTTTCTATTTCTTATTTTTTGTTCTTTATATTTTTTTCTCTTTTCTTTTACTTCTTTTTTTGTATCGGGCTTATAACTTTTTTTCAGTTGTTGGTTCATGTTTCCTTCTCTTATTTTTTGTACAGGCTTCATTCTTTTCTCTCTCTTTTCTTCTTTCCCTACTCTTCTTTCCTTCCTTGTTCCTTATTTTTCTAAAATCAAGCTTAGAGTTTATTGTTTGCCTGTTTGTATCCACTTTTGTTCTGTTTCCTTTTCTCTTGCCCTAAATCAGGCTTTGTTTTTGTTTTATTTTTCTTTTTTCTTTTTTTTCTTTTTTCCTTTATAGGCTTGACTTCACAAACATATCAAAGCACACCTACTTAAAAGTTCAAACACTCTCCACTATAATCAAGAAGGAATTCCGTAGAGGGAGGACCAGGGGGAAAGAGCAGCCAAAACACAACAGCAGAGTGTACACAGCATATACACCAGAAACAACTTCCTGAGGCTTTTGTTGTTATTGCTCTTTTGTGTTTTTTTTTCCCTTTCTCCTTAGTTTTCTGAACACAATGACTATAAGGAGAAATTCATTACAAAAGAAAGAGTAGGAGGTACTCTGCCACAAATTTAATAATATGGATATAAGTAAGATG